ACTCATAAGATGTAGCTGCAGAGACTTGTGGAGTGCCAAAGCTGGAGAAATAATAGACCATGTGGTTCTGGGCTGCCTAACTCCTGTCCAATGTTGAGGGTATTGAGCGTGAGGTTGCTGAGTGATTGACCTAGGTTACGTGGCAACTAGGCACCAATGGGGAAGATTGGAATGGGGAAGCCTACTGACTCTCAAACCAGTACAATTTCAAAGGTAGTATATGTACGTGATCATCTAAATGATGTCAACCCAAGTATGATCCATGTAAATGAAGGTGCCTTAGCCATGGGAGAGATCCGAAGGTCATCCTGTGCTATTTCCCTCCTGATGCAAGAATCCTGTCATAAACATCCCTGACCATGGATGATGGTCATTCATCCTGGCTTACTCCATGCCCAAGGAGCTGGGTATTTTATGGAATATTTTATTTTGTTTTTGAATATCTCTACATACTAATAAAATCATTCTGACATAAGGTCAATTTTATAGTTTTGAAGTATTGACTCATAAATTTGAGGGTGTCCAGAGGTCAGTAGCATCACAGGTGATGGTGACTTTTGCTTCTTAAAATGAAAGCAATGATGCTCACCTTGTAGGATCATCAAAGGACTAGCGATGTGGTCTATGAAGTATCGGCCATAGTGCCTGCTTCAACATAGACTCTCAAGTTGTAGTTATAATTGATTTCTGAGCATCGTGATTCCATATTCTGAAATTATGCCCTCTGGAGCGATGCAGACTGTGTCTAATCCTGCAAATATTTAAAGGCATTTAGTGTGGCCCTCGAGGTCTTCCCTCTCCAGACTAAATATTCCCTGCTTCCTCGGCCATTCTTCCTGCAATGCATTTTGAACGCATTCACTACCCTCATTTGTCAATTTCTCCCTTCAAATGTGGTGGCCAAATGTGGTCAGGCCCACGTACCCTACTGTGGAAGAATTACTTCCCCTGATCAGGATGTTTCACTTCTAAAACAACCTAGATTTATGTTAGCATTTTTGGAAGCCAGATCACACAGTTGGCTCGAGGAAAACCTGATTCTGCTTTCCAGAACACGAGCTGGGTCTCCAACTTTGTGTCAGCCGCAGATTTGACAAGCACGAGTTTTATATCTTCATCCAAACTGTTGATAAAGATGTCGAACAAGGAAAGGCCAAAGGCCAAACTTCGGTGCACACATCTGATCCTGGTCTGCAGACTGACATCCACCCGGTGTCATCTGTTTGGTGGCGTTGTTTCTCTAGCTTCAAATCTGCCCACCTGCACGATCGACAATAACTTAGATAATATGCTCCTTGTGTTTTTGAAATTGGATGTTGAGTTTACGTGGAGGTAAAATGCTATTCTTTTATCAATAAAGACGGGTTTGAGATCTATAATTGGGACAATGTGAGCTCGGAAAATAATTTCACATTTGAATTCCTACGCAATTCTTAACGGAAACAGTCACCTTCTCTAAATGTGAAATGAGAGTGTCTTTGCCAGATTGTTTATTTTCCCAAAATGTTTTAAAATCATTCTCTGGGTCTAGGGGAAGAAGGCTAGATAGCATGCACACTTTATGTGTGTAAATTGGGAAATGGTGAAAATATAATTCAGGAGTCATCTTACAGAGACCTCAGAGACAAAGAGACTTCTGAAAATTGTTGCCGGGGAAGGATAGTAATTATTTTCTATTTATTGCTCCTCAGAAAAAGCTTTGGCATCTTGGGTGAAACCTTTTCCTCTGGGATCTGACATGCTGTGCTCTCACAAAAGCCAACCATGTTCCTTGGGGTGCAGCCTGAGCCTAGTCTTCCTTGGTTTGTGTGTAGACGTAAAGACGGTTGTTGGTCATTTGTAGCAAAGCATTCGAGGTTCAGATGCTCACCACTCAGGATGCTTTGAGCATCTTCCCAAGGTTTTCCTTTCAAGTTTTCTTCTGGGTTGTGATCTCCCTTTGTTTGTTGGCCCATGATTGACCAAGTTCCTTAAAATCTGAAACACAGATGCTGCCAGCATGCTTTCGGGAAGGTGAGCAGATGAGATGCTGGCGCTCTCAAAAGCTGATTAGTGAACAGAGGTGTGAAGCTCAATAATCTGAGTATCTTGGGAATGCTGTCCAGCGGGTCACTAGGCTGTCACCTGTGATGTGGTGATGGAGTCACAGTGGAGAGTAAAATCAGGTTTAGTTTCTACTCTCGCTGTGGTTGCAAGTGATGGCAGGAAGAGCGAATAATCACAAAATTAAGCACATTTATAACCTTTTTGTAATGATTTATTTATTCATTATGTATAGTGTTTTGCCTGCAGGCCAGAAGAGGGCGCCAGATCTCATTATAGATGGTTGTGACCCACCATGTAGTTGCTGGGACTTGAACTCAGGACCCCTGGAAGAGCAGGCAGTGCTCTTAACCTCTGAGCCATCTCTCCAGGCCCTCACATTTTTAATCTTTAAGAAATCCCTCTAAAGGGAGAAGTTCCCATCACTAGGGAAGGATGGAAGACTTCCCACGGAATGACCAGTCTGAGAGTTGAAGGTGAAGTCCAAACAAGAGCATTGGTGTCCAACAAAACAAAACAGCCAAGCAAAAATCATATTACAAGGTCTGGTACTGACATGGAGTAATATCAGAATGAGGGCAGGAGAATTCCGGAAAGGTGGGAAGAGGCGCCGAAACTGGAACAAAGATGGGATTAGATGAACTGCTTGGTAGGAAGGATCCCCTAGCAGCTGGGGAGGGAGGTCACAAACAGTGCTATTGGCGTATTTCAAAGCAAAGAAGTCAAGCAGCGACTCAGGGTGGGGATGTGTATTCCACTGTGTGCTGTGTGGTGGGTTATACATTTTGAAGAAATCTCAGCTTGGTAACTAGGGAAGGAGGAGGGAGAAGAGCCAGATAGAGCGAATAAAGTCTGAAGTCTCCCACGACAGGGCAGGAGATGACGGTAGTTCAGTATAGGTTTCTGGAAGAAGGCCTGGGAATATAGAAAGAGGAGGGATGCTTGGGGGTAAACGGGCAGAATTTGGGACTGCATCTGGGCATGGCAGGAAAGAGGAGTCCTGGGTAACTTAAGAGACCTCACACGTTTCATGGTCTCCTCTGTGCATGTAAAGATGTGGTTCTAGACATCAAACGGTACAACTTTAGTGATCCAGGGCGGAAACAGCATAATGCCATTATAAAGACTGAATCAGAACTCTCCCAGACTTTGGACCTATTATTGAAATATAGGTGACTATAAGCAATATGAGACATTTGAGTATCATTGAGGAGCTAAACAACACAAGAGATTGCTCACACAGTTTCTGGAGCTAGAGATAGAAGGGTGTTAGGGTGCACTTTTGAGTGAGAAGACCAACGAATGATCTTGATTTTCATCATTTTAGTGGCCCTTGATGTCTTTAGATCCTGTTAAGGAAAATACAGCAAATCCCTGCCTACGTGACCATATGACTCTTCACACCATTCCCTTCCTTTTCCCTTTGCCTGGCCACAGTGTTTTCCCATGCCAGGAAAACCATCAAGTGTGTTGGAGGGGCCTTAGATTGTGTGTGTGTGTGTGTGTGTGTGTGTGTGTGTATGCCTTTGGGATCCTGTGACAACACAGTCAGCTCAAGTCTAAGCCAGGTGCTCGTTTCCCATCTGGACTCCTTACAAATTGTGTGGTCAGGGCTCAGAAGTCAGAAACCTGGGAAAGGTGCCACGTGATGGGTGCAGCCACCCCAATGCCTTCCATGTTATCACCATCATTTAACACATAGTGCAGGAAATCCTGCTCTTTGCAGAAGAAATTCAAAGGGCCACTTCACAACCTCCTGGGTTAACATTGATTCTTTTTCCTTGCTAACACTGAAGTGTGGACAGATATATCCCTTTTTCCCTCAAGTGGATTGCAAGGGACACCCCATTGCTCTCCCCCCACCCCACCCCATCTTCAACCCACTATCCAACTGATCTCTCGAAGTCCCTTACCCTTCTGGACTGAAGGATGGTACCTCCTGCACAGGGGTCTGCCTCGGACCCTTGCCTGTGAGTGATTGGCCATTCACTTTCTCTTCCTTTACTAGGCTCTGACTCTGTTTCATCTTAGCCCCAGTGCCCTGATCAACCTTTTTCTCCCTTCATGTGCATTCTATCTTGTGGTCCCACTAGCTTGCTTTTCTACTTAACACAACCATTTAACCCAATTTTATTTCAGCTTACTTCTGAAATTCAAACAACATGACTTCCATGGGAGTCATCAGAAATCAATGGATGACAGTAGTCTGTTGTGTGGCTCAGACAATATGTGTTCCTTCTTTAGTTCATCTGGGCAGCAGCATTTGTTGAAGGGCCACTCTGATCCACGCACCACCATTCTCTATTCTGGAGGGCAGAGTCACTGTTCTACATTCTCTTATTCCATACGGTGCTCAGAAGGAGATTTGTGGAGACCGAGCCATATGATGCAAGTGTTATCCTTGTCATTGGATTCCCGGTGCTCTGATCTGATCTATTAGAACCATCCCTCCACACCCCATAGCTTTTTCAGCACCCCAGTTATAATCTAGGAAAGTGTTGGTTTCCCTAAAAAAGGGATATGTGGTTGTAGTATTGCAGTACTGAGAACAAGGAAGCCAACAACTGGGTGCAACGTTGTGCAAAGGAGGATGGGGAACTCAGTCCATCCAATCATGGCATTCTGTGCCCACCCTATTCTAGCGCAGTGTGTGTCACCCAGTCAGACAGGGATACACTAATCCTCCCGCCCGCCACCATCTGAGCCTGCCTTCAGGATGGCTGGTGGCAGATTGCTCAGCAAATGTCAGCACATTTCCTCTTGTGCTTTACTCTTTGGTAAGTAATCATTTGTTTTAACCCCTTCAGAACTGTGGTTATAGCAAGATCAGTGAACTCACACCTTGCCGGAAGCCATAACCTGTGACATGACCAGATTTCCAACTCGGCTATGGAGGGCTTTGGAGTAGGTGAAACTTTGGCTCCTTCTGATCTTTCTCCTCTGTCTTCTCCGGGCAGAATATCTCCATGCATAATACGGTTGGAGGGACCATGACGGGACCTGGAGCTCACCAGCTGGGCAACACCCGGATGCCCAACCACGACACCAGTGTTGTGATTCAACAAGCCATGCCATCACCCCAGTCCAGCTCAGTCATCACGCAGGCTCCCTCTACCAACCGCCAGATCGGGTAAGGAGACTTCCTCATTGTCCCTGGAGAAGCTCCGGCAATCTTTTGAATATTCTGCTATTTTGGGACTTGGGCCTGTTGTTTTTCCTGTGTGATATGATGCTGCCAAGAGGTCAGAGCGACACTTTTGATGAGAGGAGGGAGGAGTCTCCATTTGCTGGGAGCTCATTTAATCCTGGATGTCAAGGGGGAAAGCTATTCATTCTGTGACTTCATTTTTTTTTAAAAAAAAATAAGGCTTCTGAATGACAGGCAGAAATCGTGGGTGCCGACCAACAGAGAGAAGTTCTGCCAGCCCAGGCTCCTTCTTCCAGTGTGCTCCTCTCCCCTTCCTGGGAGTTTTGCAACTGCTTGGCTAGGTTCACCTGTATACTCCATCACTGCCTTTCCCTCTGCTCTTTCTTCCTCGTCCTTGTTATTCTTTTTCATCAGACCTCATCCCCAAGCCTCTTCATTGGCCCATAATTACTCCTGTAACAGAAAAAAACAATGTAACCAGGCCCTTTTCCTCTCATCTATGGAGCAAGACAATATTGAGACTGGCAAAAGTATCTTGACACCCATATCATGGGATGGAAATTGTTCTTGCTTCTTCCTCTCATGTGACTGGTCCAGCCCCTTACCATGCAGAGTGTGGTCCGACCATCTGCAATGTGGGTATTACCCAACAGCTTCTTAGGAATACAGCATCCCGCACCCCACTTACATCTCTCCAGAATGAGGATGCAGTGTGTTTCCAACTTCTAAAGAGTTAAGATGAGTACAAGATGCGGAAGCATGTGGGCTCTTGGGGAGGAGACACTGACTTCTTAAGTGTACCCTGCTGGGTGCTGACCACTGGCTGCCCTGTGTCCCCAGAACTGTCTGCCGAAACCAGAAGGGGAACTGGTTGTGGTGGGTACATGCATCAGAAGGCAGTCTGTCTTTTCACCACTGGCTGTGGTGACCTAAAATAAATTTAGATGCTTCCTTACAATTTTTCCACGCATCTCCCCTGAGAGCAACAGTGGGCACAGGGAGCAATCTTGTCTCACTCTGTGAGTGCTCTAGAATAGGGATCTGGCTCTCAGGATTCTCAGTTCATAGGAAGGACACCTGCCCTGAAACCAGAGCTGTGGGGAACGACTCTTCTCTTTGTCACGGGCGTGTTTGGTGGTTCGTTCCAAGCGCGGGCAGTGAGGGTGGGTGGTGGGATGTGTCCTGTTGCTTAAAGACGCTGGCATGGCTGTAGCACGTCCCCCTGAAAAAGACGTCTTCTCAAGCAACTTGGAAAGCAAGTATCGCCACTGTATCTAAACCGCAACATTCTGGGAGGGTGATGTGGCTTCATTCATGGCGGTGTCTAAGTCTCAAGGGACTCCTTCTCTCTTGGGCCTTGGCTGTGGGCAGAAAATTCACAGCTGGGCCAGCTAATTATAATTATTTTATTTTTCTTTCAAGGAGGGAAGCATAAAACGTGCTCGAGTTTACTAGCAGTTTTACAGCATTCCTTCCCCCCTGCAGCCCCCTGCCTGCCCCTTGTACCCTTGCCCACAGCCCTCTCTGAGGCCCTTAGTACTCCCCATTGTTAATGCAGCCCTGGGTTTTATGGAGCAATCCCTTTAAGACTAGCACTAAATTTTAAGATGGGCATCGACTCTGTCAATAATTTACCCAGCTGGCCCGAGACTGTACATTTTGGGTGACATTCGTAGGCTGTGTCACTCTGCCATTCCTCCTGCTTCTTGGAGGCATTGTAAGTCTCTCCTGGCGTGTTCTAGGAGATAATTGTGGCTTTTTGGACTCCATCTTCATCACCCAGCTTGAGGGAGGCCGCTGTTTCTTTTCTCCAGATCCCTCCCTGTCGCGCTTACTCTGTTGATTCAAGACCCCCACATCCTGTCACTTGCTCCGCTTCTCCATGTGATGCAGCCAAAGCCCTGCCCAGATGAGCGGGAGGTTCAGCAAGCCACAGCCCTGCCCTTCTTACCAGCAGATTGAGTATGGAGCCCTAGGTGGTAACATTTGGAGATGGCTCTTTTATTTCCCTCAGCAAAGAGGAAATGAGTGCTCATTTTAAAAAGCGAGTTCCCTCGGGAGATGTCTGCAAGTGAGTGTTTGAAATTGGCAGATAGCTTTTTTAAAAGTCTAACGTGTGTGTGTGTGTGTGTGTGTGTGTGTGTGTGGTGTGTGTGTGATATGCATGCCCGTGTATGTGCACATGCACGAGCATACAGAACCATATTGTAGTCATATTCTGATTTTTATCACAACCTCAAATATTTAAGTGTCAAAATCTGGCCAAGCCACCTGCAAATGTTTGTCATGGCTATTGGCCAACAAAAACAGCACACAGCAATGAAAGTCTTCATTCAGGCTCAGTGCTGAAGCTGCATCCAGCCAGAGAGACTGGGACCCACCTGTGCCCACGCATAACATGCTCGTGCTGCGGCCGGTGGGTGTGTTCACAACTGGAACTTTGTAAGAGATGGGATCGGCTGACCCCTCTCCCTGCCTTTCCTTCCCTTTTATTCTGCAGGGCTTTGATTCTGCAGCCATCCCTACATTTCTTCTCTCTCTCTCTCTCTCTCTCTCTCTCTCTCTCTCTCTCTCTCTCTCTCTCTCTCTTCAAGCTGTGAAGCTCACACTTAGAGGCTGGATATAAGGGTCTGAAAAATGGAAGTGGTGCCAGTTGTCAGCGAAGACTTCCAGGACAAAGGGCACGTGTCTAATTTTTGTACGTGGGGCGGGCGACACTGAGACAAAGCAGACCAAATGAGTGGAAATATAAAAACACTAGGAAATATTGTTAAGAACGTAGACAAGCAGCAGATCCAGCTCCTATTCTAGTCCGTGGTGACCCCTGCTATGCCCTGTGCTCAATTCTCTAAAAGTAGGGCTATTATCTCAATAGAAACTGGAGGGAAGTATAAGTATCCAAGATTGCACTTGGGTGGTTAGGCAGGCTAGAAAAACACACAGCTCTAGGGAGTGTGAGAGACATCCCCCAAACCAGTGACTGCTGGTGCTCAGTAAAACTGGAGATGCCCTGTCAGGGAGAGTGTCTTTGCCTGATTGATGGGGGCGTTTTAGGAGATAAGTTTCCCAGATGGGCTTAAAAAAAAAAGTGAGCTACAGGTTGTGGAGAGACAAGACAGAAAACAAGCATGTGTTAACTAGAGATGAAATCGATTTAGCCTTGAACCAACTATGTGGCACATTCCAACTCCAGCCGTTTTTATTAGATATCATATAACACGCTCATTAATTCAGGATCAAGACAGCAAAGCCTGGGAAAACAGGACATGAGCAGGTAATGGAATGGAAACCCCATGCAGCTCTTGTTCACCCCCTCACAAGAGGCATTTCTGGAGGAGCCCGTGAGGGGAGGAGAGGCTAAGATGGGTCTTAACCCTAATGGATCCAAGTGTTCTTAGAGCAGTCTGTTCCCCTCTCTGGGGTGGGAGATGACACAGATAGCATGGACATGGAGTTCTACCACAGTGGTCAACGGTGGGGAGTTCTGACAGGTGGTTGGAGGCACCATTGACCTAGGCTATGGCTCTTCTTCTTGCTTTTTAATATTCTATGTACATTGGGGAAATGCATGCTCACTGATTGCTTCCTGTGGAAGTTTTACAATTTGAAGTCAGAATATGTAAGCCTGAAACATTTGGATTGCCAGCCCCCCCCTTCCCCAGATATGACACAGAGACTTAATTGTGAAAGCTTGGCAATTAGCTTAGGCTTGTCCCAGTAGCTCTTATTTTACTCAAATTCTAGTCTGTGGGGTACAAATGTCCACGTTGTGCGTAGCAATTGAGGATTAGGTCATAAACTCTGTTCAAATGGAGCTGAAGGTAGGCTGATCTACTTCTTAGCAATAAATTATACAAAGTATTGTGAAAAAAAATCTCATTTTCTATAAAAAGGTGTTGTTAGCATGAATTTTATCTGTTCCGGCCCTTGTCCACGCTGCTTTCCCAGTGTTTCTCTGTAAGTCCTAATGCTGTGTCGTGAATAAAGTCTGGCGATGGCTTGTGGGCATACCAAGGAAAACACACAAAAACAAATACTCAAAAATAAAACGGTAAGTGAAGCTTAGGTATCAGGGCACAGCTGCTTTTTCCATGGAGGACGTCAGGAAGGCGTTGCTGTAGGGATTGTCATTGTCACTCAAAGTACCATCAGATGGGGATGTATGGAGGCAAAGGGTCCTGTCACTGTTTCTCTGGGGAGGGGGAGAAATAAGGAAAGGCTGAGAAGTGCTGCATTCACAGATGGGAAGTTTCAAAATCTAAATAATAAGACATCTTCTGGTTAAAGCCGTGCTTGCACGTCCTGGGTTTGATCCCATCATTAAGGGTTTTCTTAAATGCTTCGACCAATGTGAGCCTCGCTGTGACTGTCACTGTCTACCACAGTCTGTGTTGGGGAAGTTCTGGCCACTTCCTTCTTGCGGGAGGCAGTGGGGGTAGATTTCAGGTTGTCCCTGCAACTCCAGCCCCTCAGCCAGGACAACTCGAAGCTCTGTTTGAGTAATTCATACCAGAAGCCATTATTTCCTGCTTTGTGTTTTGCTGAACATCACGGCTATGAACATAGCTTTATTGTTTAAAAATTGCTAGATCTTTCACAGCCCCAAGAACATTTACGAGGGCCCTTCAGGGGGATGCTTTCTGGGAGGGTTGACAGACTTAACCATATGGCTTCCGTTAAATCCCATGCAGAGCCTTGAGAAATTACCTCTGACAAGGGGGCCAGCAGCCTTCCCCTCCTAGGATTTTATGTGTGGAACGAAACATAAAGTACTGATACTTGAGGAAATAGAATGTTTCTGAACATTCAAAGGTTGTAACACCACATAGCATTACAGCCAGATGAAGGGGTGGAGCCGCAAGACGTGAGCACATGGCTCAGTGTCCCAAAGAGTAGAAAAGCAGCCGCTCTTGTTTGTAAACCTGGCTATGGCCTCTGATATCTTGGCAGTTTGTGTCTCAACTGCTCAGCTAGAGTACAGA